TTATCCACATTCGCCCGTAATGTGGGAACAAATGTCATGATTTTTTTTCGACAAGTTTTACGCTAGCTGTCGACTACCTAACGCAAACCTCCACTTTTCGCATCCAGGCTTGGGACCGACAACGACAGTGTTATACAAATAATAACAAATGAAAAAAAATCATTCATCAACGAAACCACGCAAATATTCGACGCGAAATTCAGGCTGCAGCGCCATGAATATTTGCTTACGGGTTGGATCCTCAAGTTTTTTCATACTTTGCATGAAAGTGTCTGTCTGCAACTACTTCAGGAAGAGAAGCTAAAGTTTCTAGACATTCAAAGATGGTGCTGTCAGGGACTGGAGCAGGTGGTGGAGCACCAAAAGCTTTTATGAGTCGTTCAAATGAGGTTTTCATAAAAGTGTTATTTTCTTTATTTCTCCTACCAAGCCTGAGCCTCTTTGAAGGTGAACTAGACTCCCCTATCTCTCTCTGGTTACTAGGCTCTTCTTCATCAGCTGTCAACAGCTCAGATGGGAAGTCATTTGATATGCTTGCAAAACCCATCTCACTAGGGTTGAATGCAAATTTTTCCGTCGCGACAACCCCTTTAAACGTTATGTCGAGTTTGTCTTTGTAGTCCGACTAAGTTTCACACTGTTTATATTTTTTCACTGACGGCATTGTCTGTGACATTGTAATGAAGGAGGGGGTTAAGTGGATTTATGAGAAAAAAAAAATAATTTATGTAAATAAAATTTAGAGTACGCTTAACGGGATCCCAACCCAAACCGATAGATCCACGTTTGAACTCCTTTCCAAATTTTCCACTCATTCAATTGATCTCATTTAACTCTTTCCAAATTTTCCACTAATTCAATTGATCTCATTTATTTTTGAATTTAAGCCTGTCGTAATCCCTTCCTGTCAATTCCTTGATTCTCTTGACAATATTTTGCCAACTTTTCTTGTTGAAATACGTGGTTGGCCTATTACCGATTTCAATTTCTGTATTACAGAGATTATAAAAAATTTTCGTAACCTCCTTATCCCACATAGTTGACGGACCACCTTTATTTGTCTTAACCATTTTGAAACTATATCAAGAATTGTAGAAGCATAAAGAAGATCATATTCGAAGCTAAACATGCATAATAGAATGGTTGAACAAGTAATTGCATAAGCATAAAGCAAATAATTTATCATTTCCAGCTGAAATACAAATAGATACATGCCACAGTTCCAAGCCTTTGAATACATGCTACGGTTCCAGACATTTGCATGCTTAGAGAATGCAAATGGGAAAAGCAAGATCATATGCAAATCCAGAAAGTAACAATTCACCATTTACGGGCCATGCAGCTAATCAGACATGCCACAGCTCAATTTCAACTGAAGTACAGGTAAGAAAAAATTGAAACCATAAGAGAACAACCAGCACATCTGAACAATTCACTGATACTACATTTTCTTTTAACCGAGATGATCAGAATTTTTTATACATAAGAGAACAAACTCAAAATTGTGATAAGAAGAAGATAAAAACTGAAGCAATAAAAACTTAACCATTTACGGGTCAACCAGTACATCTGAAAAGCAATATCATATGCAACACCTAAAGCTCCATTCCAACCGAAGCACAGTTAAGGATGCAAGATCATATGCAAAAGTTCTGCCATGTAATAACAATTCACCATTTACGATTCACCATATGATCTGAGAAGCAAGATCATATGCAACAGCTGTAGCTCAATAAAACTGAAATATTAAGGAAACAAAAATTGTGCCATCTAATAACAATTCACCATTTACGGGTCAACCATATGATCTGAGAAGCAAGATCAATTGCAACAGCTATAGCAATACCATTTACTGTTCAGCCTATAAGGAGAGGCAGTTGATGACTTTCTATAATTCCAATCAAGTACCCCTGAAAGCTGTTTCAGCTTATCAAAGCAACATAAATGATGAACAACATAAGTGATGAACAACAACTGCTTAACCACCCTAATAGCTTGCATTAAAAAAACCAAATTCTCTATATAACTACTGCCATTCAGAAAACTAAATTCTCTATATAACCAAAATCTCTATTGGAACTAAATTCTCTATATGTATAGGTTGAAAATTTCTATTTGTAAATGGAGCAATTATGCATAAGCTCTTGTAATATGTACAGGTTGAAAATTTCTATTTGTATTGAAGTGTGGAGAATGAGACAGCAGATAGCTTGCACTACTATTGCCATTGCCACTACCAATACCATTGCCATTTCCACTGCCATTGCCATTTCCACTGCCACAACCAATACCATTACCAATATGCTAAAGACCTACAGATTACTACAGATAGATGACATAGAAATGAGATAGCACTCTATACTAATGCATTTCCACTGTATGTATGTAAATGCCTTGTTGTACTACAGACAGATAATGCATTGCCATTTCCACTGTATGTATGTAAATGCCTCATTATACTACAGAAAGATAATGCATTGCCATTTCTACTGTATGTATGTAAATGCCCCATTTTATTGAAACATAGGAATGAGACAGCATTCCCCTAATGCAAATTCCACCGTAAATGGCCCATTGTAAGTCATCTATATAAAGAGGAAGAAGGGAGAATGTGTTCTGTATGTAAATGCACCATTAGAAAGAGCATTGGAATTGAAATGTAACTGCATACAGTGGAACGTAAGTAAATCCTCAGTTTTTCATTTCAACCGATCACGGGAAATGAAAATATTCCAAACATTCCAGCATTCCAACATTCCCCCCTCATTACAAGCACAAGTTTGATTCTCAGCATGTCAACGTCTCAATATTATAACTAAAAAAATTCCCAGGCATCAGAACAAGGTCATAGTGAAGGAGCAGGGGGTCGATTCTCCTCAAAAGAGCGAGGGCGAGGGAGATCTCGGAAGGGCAACAGTGGAATTCTTGCCCTAAACGCGAAAATCATATGCGGGACGCGGGGGAAGTCCAAATTGTGAAGGTATTAAGGAAATCACGATATTTGAATGCCGCGGCACCAAAACGTTCAGCCGAACGTGCTATTCAACGGGACGGCGGCGTTTTCAAAACGCCGCCGCACCCTATAAGCTGCCCCAAATGGGCTCTAAAATTAACTTGGAAGAATTAGTAAGAAAAAGACTTGGCCAAACATAATATTGAGAGAGTTAACTCATCAAGGAGCTCTCATCATAAGTAAAAGGAGGATTCATAAAGCGGACCATTAATGCTTTGGATATGAGTAATGATGATGGTTGAGGATGTATGATCGTTATTTTCTTGTAGAGTTAATCTATATTTTTAATCTGCTTTTCATTGATTTATTATTTTATTTTATGTTGTTTTATACCTTTTTTCAATATGGAGAATGAGGACTCCTAAATCCTAATAATAGTTGGGATAATGTTATAGATGTTATGTGGTGATGATTTTGAACATATAATCTCATAGAGCTATGTCTTAAACACTTTGTCGTGAAAATATGATAAATAATATTAATATAT